AGTTGTACCTGGGTGCTTAACTTGGGCAGGTTAAATAATTATAGTAATAGCTCTAAAACACTCTGAGAAAATCCTGAAAATTTTTTAAAAATTGAAAAAAATTTGTGACTGAAGAAGTGTTGGAAGGTAAAAAAATATCATGCAAAGGTGAGCAAAGAATTATTCATGCAAAGCCCATGATATTGCCTCTTTCCCTAATGAGTAAGACAATGATCCAAATGCACTAAAGAGACTCCTGAGTTAGGAGCCAGGAAAGTGGAAAGGCTGCCACCACTGATTCATGGTGGAAACAATGGCCTTCCTCACCTCAAACGGCCACCAATTACTGCCACCGGCCCCTCTTCCTCCTTGAGAAGTTCCCAGCGGGTGTGGTTGAAACCAAAACCAACTTTTGCATTAACCGCTGTTCATGTCTGCTCAGCCACTTCGTAGACTATGAACGTTACAAAAGACAGACAACTAGCTTACAAAGTACAATATTTCACTAGAAAATGTGCTTTTCTGTTCTTCCTCAGAGTACCTTAGTGCAAAATAAGATAAAACAATCACTCAAAAATAGCAAACAGGTTAATTATTAAAACCTTATATGAAGGATTCAAATAATTGTCAACATAAAAGAGGAATGCTTCTCTCCCTACCGAACAGATACGTATGTAGAATGTTCTAGAGAAAAGTTGAATAACAGCCCTATTTTTACAAAGTGTGTGCATGTGTGTGCATGTGTGTGTGTTGCACTTTTTCCCCTTTAGGTGGTTCAACTATTTGGAATTTGTGAAGGCAGATCTGAGAATTAGAGACAACCAAAATCTGCAAATTAGATGGTTCCACAAACAAGAGTATGGAAGGGGGGATAAAAGAAGAGGCCAAGGAAGGCCCAAGAACAGTATAGAGATGTAACTTAATTCCATTATATGTATTTTAAGAAAACATGTTCAAACTGCATGAGAGACACGAAATAGCACTCAGCCTCCAAGATTTCTGAAAGTTTTGAGCTTGCCTGCGTCTTCTTCCATTAATAACCTTTGCCATCTTCAGAAACAACAGCCTGTTTATTTATTTAGTTGATGCATGACTTGTAGGACAATTGAGGACTAAGTATGTCCAAGCCTTTTGGTTAAGGAAGAATGAGTGGCAGAACCATACAAGTATCCCAAAGGCCTTTTGGCAGGCTGCTGATGCAATGAGGTTTTGATGGATGATAGCTATGGGGAAGCTCAAAGGAAGCTAGGGCAGTTGGTGAACAATCTGTTAAGACCTTTCCTTTCCTAAGAGAGGATTCGACAGGCCTGATCCTCGTCTCCCTGGATACCTTGGACTGGATAAGCTGGCTGTGCCTGCACCCTCCCAGTGCAGCTTCTCTAACTGAATTAACTTCCTGCAGAGAGGGAGCAGGCATGACCTTAAGACCAGAAACATTCTCTCAGGCTTAGAAGTGAGACCTCACATAAATGGACAACATTTTTTAGTTGTTTATGGACTGAAGGGTAGACTTCAGTTAATTTCGGAAATTTGCCTATGTAGGGTCAAAATGGCTCATCAGGACAAAGGAAGATTTTAGAAACAGCTGGACTGCAACAAAACCACTTTCAGCAACATCTGGAAGAACAATGGCATGCAACAGGCCACAAACACATGGCAGTAAAAGAACTGAGAAAAGGGAAGGGCAAGGGCCAAATTGGAGGCACTTCGGTCCAACTCATGGGAAGGAAGCCTTTTGGAATCCCCCAACCTGACCTCAAATGAGAATGTAGAGAATTTGGCCTCCCCAAATGTATGGCAGAGACAGAGACCATTTATTGTTACTGTCCCTGAAAATCAATCCACTTCTTTCTACAGAAATCTACATGCTTGATAGATATTTACTTTGAGGATGAGAAACAAAACAGCTTATGGAAGTGGGAAGCAGTAATTTAAAAGAGACAAATATTTCTCAGAAATTTAGCTGTCTCTTTCTAGAAAACGCTTTACAAAAATAACTGTGCAGGACCCTGTGCTGCATTCTCGGGCACTTTATGTGTACCCCTGTTGCAACAATACAGGCCTGGCCTGCTAGACTTTGAGCTCCCCAAAGACAAGGAAAAGTTGTAATTTATATATGTTCATCCAATGCCTAGCATAGCACTCACTGGCATTCCATAAATACTTCATGAATGAAGAAAGAAGAGAACAATCTCTTAATTTTGTTCTATCCTGCTCTTGCTACGTTTAGGTGTAGATGGGTCTGACAAAACGTAGAAGTCAAATTAGTACCTCTCTGTGATTACTAAAGAGAAAAAAATTGTTTTAAAATATCACCCCTAGGATCCTTAAATAAATCTTTTACGTACAGCTGAGGGTGAATAGAAGAGGCAAAGCTATCCATAAAAATATATCTAGAGAAATGACAAATGTCTATTTCTCCAGACAAATTTTCACAAAGATGGCAATTGAGCTTATACACACAATAAATGATGCAGTAGGTTAAATATATTTTAGGGTAAGCAAATACACTGTTGCTTACATAAATAGATTTGTTTAGTGGGAAAAAAATCAGTGAAACAGCCCCATGAAAATATGAAATTTCAGAAGTACTTTTAGTTTTAATGTAAAGTGACACATATTCCCTAATATCTTTTTGTAAACAGCAGTTATCAAAGGCTGAGGGTTTAAGTGGAAGAGATCATTGTGGCACAGATGGCCAGAGCATATAGTTGAGAAACCTGAATGGGGTAGGTTAGCAACAACAAAAAAGTGGTTAAGCGACATTAAGATGCTTTCAAAGTCTCCTTCGAGTTGATAATTGCTCAAGGATTGAAACATTCACACAATTGAACAGTTACATAAAACTGCATGGATCTTGGTACCACTGAGGAAAGACAGTCAGAGTTAGCACAATATCTAACTGTAAACTGAATTCTACTTTGGAGGGTACGGCTCACTTGTATTTCCTATACATCTAGCGAAAATTAGTGTTTTCTGGGGTTTTGAAATAATTCAACCCTGTAAAAATAATTCTGCTTTAGCCCTGAGACGACTTAGAAGGGTAGCGTGCAGATTGCACTGTCCTGGCATCTGTATTTAGGTCTGTGGTATGTAGTGTGCGTGGAGCCTACACACGGGAGGAAAATGCCAGTTGATTTTGTAGTGCAATTGTGGTCAGGATAGAGCTTCACAGATTCTTCATCCTACAGGACAATCTACAAGCATATGTACTTAGATGAGAAAATCAAATACTCTGAGTTAGCCTTTGCTAGTCTCCATTTCTTCTATTAGCACTATGTCAGCAAAATATAGTCCTCAGTGCTCAGAGACTGAATAATGAAGAGTTCCAGCTTTATTACTCACACCTCCCTTTCCCTTTCTATTTCATTATTGGAGCTGCTTCAGGCTAAACCCACTACACTTCATGGTGACTTTTATTTCAGGGGACAAAGGAATATATAGCCAAGCAAAAGGCCGATTTATACAGCATTTTTATGGAAATAGCAAATTCAAAAGTGAAAATTGAAGAAAGGGAGGAAAGAGCAGGGGAAAACAGTATTTAAAGATCCTTTGTCTTACTAAAGAATCATTCATCTTATTAAAACTAAAAGGAGGCTGGGCGTGGGGGCTCTCACCTGCAATCCCAGCACTTTGGGAGGCCAAGGCGGTTGGATCATGAGGTCAGGAGTTCAAGACCAGCCTGGTCAATGTGGTGAAACCCCGTCACTACTAAAAATACAAAAATTACCTGGGTGTGGTGGTGGGCACGTGTAATCCCAGCTACTCGGGAGGCTGAGGCAGGAGAATCACTTGAATCTGGGAGGTGGAGGTTGCAGTGAACCAAGATCACACCACTGCACTCCAGCCTGGGCAACATGGTGAAACACTGTCTCAATTAGAAATGCAAAAATTAGCTGGGCGTGGTGGTAGGTGCCTATAATCCCAGCTACTCAGGAGGCTGAGGCAGGAGAATTGCTTGCACCCCGGGAGGCAGAGGTTGCAGTGAGCCAAGATAGTGCCATTGCACTGCAGCCTGGGTGACAGAGTGAAACACTGTCTAAAAAAACAAACAAACAACAAATAAACAAAAGCTAAAATGAGAGAAATGTTATCATTGTTAAAATCACTTTAAAATAAATTTACTAGCCAAAAGATGCAATGTAGATGATAAAGTGATTAAGCTCAAATCCACAGACAATTTTAAGGAGAGAATATCTTAAAATAGAGAAACATGATTGCAAACTAAATCCTTATCTCATATGCTCTGAAACTGAAAGAAAAGCTGTGCTCGAAATGGCATGAAGCAACGAAGTTCCTCATTGTGAGAGGCGAGGGACAGTGTACACTAAGCACAAGACGGAATGTCTGCTAACTGTCAAGGCTGACGAACAGAGCTGTGGTCATTGTTTTCCAAATTGAATCTGCCTCATAAAGAGAATCAGCAAGTGTTTTCCACACCGAGAATCATTATACGAGCATTTCCGGCATCTTGGAGCATTTATATTGTTTTCTCCTTACCTTTTTCTCCCAGATGGCCAGGGCCAAAGAATGATGTATATTGCCACAGAAAAATCATTAAGATCTTTGCCACAACCCCATGGATGAGCTCAAGGTGCCTTCTTGCAGAAATGACTGTGTTTTCAATGCTTTGTTACAAAAAGGGGCAAAGACCCTGAAATTTGTCACCACTTCTTTTGGGAGTTTAATCCTACAAAATGGGGTGTGGAAGGGTCTTTATGTATATAGGGCATAACAGATTTGAAAATGTGATATGCTAAGGAGGAGCCCTGTTAGTTAGCAATGTTAGTTAGCTGGAGGTGACCATGTCACTTACGTTAATGTTAATGCATCCTATGTTATGCATCTTATGTTAAGGCATCCTAAACCTCTTGGAAAATAGCTTGATGTTCAAAAATGTGAAACTTGCAAATTTGAATTAGTTGTCCTCACCAGGTCTTCAGTAAGTGAATGGAAGGGAAGAATTCTGTTTGGTATTTCTCTT